GGAGTTTCAGAAATTGGTTCCTTCTGAGAGTTTTGTAAAGTGTTTTCTAATTTTGAAATCTTATTTCTAAGCTCAGAATTCTCCAATTTGAGACTCTCAGTCTTATTAGAGTCAGATTCAAGATTCCTTTTCAGGTCTCTGAATTTAACTCTAATTTGCTGATACCGTTCCAGAATCTCATTAAGGCTTTCAGCAAGTTCAGCCTTGGTAAAGTTAACAGCAAAGTTAGGAAATACCTCTTCAGTATCTGATTCTGAGTCTGATTCAGAAGCTTCACTATCTTCTGAGATGTTAGCCATGAGAGCTATGTTTGCCCTCTCATCATCTGATTCTGAGTCAACTTCAGACGAGTCAGAGTCATCCCATGTAGCCATGAGACTTTTCTTCTTCTCTCTTCCAAACTTCTTTTTAGGCTTTTCCCTCTGAAGCTTTGGGCAGTCACTCTTATAGTGTCCTTGCTCATTGCACTCATAGCAGATGATGTCCTTGGTGTTTGGCTTTTTGCTACTAGAGGAGCCTTCAGATCTTCTGTATCCAGAGGAAGAATCTGTCCTTCTGTATCTGGAAGAAGACTCGTTCTGATCAGATCTTCTGGGATTCCTGAACTTCCTTTGTCTTTGCTTCCACAGTTGATTTACTCTTCTGGAGAGGAGGGAGAGTTCGTCTTCTTCTGATGAGGATCCATCAGATGTTTCTTCAACTGCCTGCAAAACTTTAGACTCAAATTTTTTGTTAGATTTTAATGCTAAAGGCTTACCTTGCTTCTGAGGCTCGTCAGCTTCTAGCTCTATCTCATGACTTCTGAGGGAGCTGATAAGTTCCTCCAGAGTGATTTTGTTGAGATCTTTAGCTAGCTTCAGAGCTGTAACCATTGGTCTCCACTGCTTGGGTAAACTTCTGATGATTTTATTGACATGGTCAGCAGTAGAGTATCCTTTGTCCAGAACCTTGAGACCAGCTACCAGAATCTGGAATCTTGAGAACATTGTTTCAATGGATTCAGATTCTTCCATTTTGAACGCCTCATACTTCTGAATGAGCGCCAGAGCTTTAGTTTCTTTGACCTGAACGTTGCCCTCATGCGTCATTCTGAGTGAGTCAAAAATATTCTTTGCTGTGTCTCTGTTGGAGATCTTTTCATATTCAGTATAGGAGATGGCGCTGAGGAGGATGGTTCTGGCCTTGTGGTGATTCTTGAAGTCACGCTTTTGTTGGTCAGACATTGTTTTTCTATCAATCTTCTGACCGTTTGCATTCACAGGGTGCGTGTATCCATCTGTCACCATATCCCATAGATCAGCATCATGTGCCAGAAAGAAGCTTTCAATTCTGTCTTTCCAGTAATCAAAGTTTTCTCCATCAAAGACTGGAGGTTTGCCGCTGAATCTGTCTCTGTCCTCATTGTTGTCATTGTTGGTGTGAGAAACGTTTCCTGCCATTGTGTTTTTCTGACGCTGGATCTTGTACTGACACGGTTAAGTGTTTTAGCTCAGAATCAGGCGCTCTGATGCCAATTTAAATAGTGAAAAACACAAGAAGGGGGGTTGAATTGTAAAACTGAAAATCAATGCAATGAACAAGATATTTTTATCCTGGTTCGTTTGATCTCAAACTACTCCAGTCCATCTGTCAAGGTGATTTCGCCTCTCTCCAACGAGGTCTTAATCCACTATATTCAACTGAATATTATAGACTGCTTTAACAACTGCTAAAGCCTTCTTGATGCAAACCACAACCCGGTTTGTCAAGGAAACACTTTCTTACAAAGAAGATAAATCTAAGTGTGTGAATGTTTTCTACAAAACTGTATCACAACTGTGATGTATACACAACTTAAAGCTTAGAAACAAGATTGCTAAACAATGATTGAATATGAGAATGTGTAGTGTTTAGCAAACTGAGAGAAGGAAGATTTTGATCAGCTTTTTATGCGTGTAAAGATTTGGAGAGCATTAGTCAATTCAATCTTCAAAGTCTTGTTTATATAGCACTGAGATGTTGAACGTTGAAGCAATATTCTTGATTCAATGCTATTAACAAACTTTCCTTATCGAGCAGATCTTGTCTGGAATGAGGCCGTTGGTATTAATTTGCTTTCAATGCACAGTACCGTTGCTTACTTAATGCAAGTTCTGGCTTGGCTCATTCTGATTCTGCTTAGCTGCTGATGAACTGTTGTGTTTCTTTATCAGAGTGTTGAGCGCAGTTCTGTTCATCAGACTTCAGCATATACGTGATTTAATCTTCTGATTCTGACATTCTGATATGGCAACTTCTGATGCTGATGTCAGGAACCAAATTTCTGATGCTGATTAAGTGTGATCTTGCTTATATCAATCAGAGTATCTGCAAATCAGAACTTAATAATTTAGGCAGCAGATAGTTCATACATAAATCATATAAATAATATATCTTTTCACTTTGTTATCATCAAAACTTAAATATAGGGTAGTAGATTCAAACTTTGTTCTAACAAAATCCATTTTCACCGTTGGAGGCCTTTCAGACCTCCGATTTCAATTATATAAAAACCATCAATCACATAATTCCACATACGACAATTATCCAATGATTAAAGCAGCAATTCACAATATATCATAGATTAGCATCAACAAAATAATATATTGTCATCATCAATTTTATGGATATCATGACATATCATCAACAATGATTAACTCATAATTAATCAATTAAAGACACAGAAATATCATAAATAAATTCATTATAACAACATATCAAATTTCAATAATCAACACAATTGATTGGAGGGGTTTACACAACCATCTTTAATTTCAAAAACTTCGTCAATGGAGGAAAGGAAATAGAAGAAGAAGAGAGTAATGGCATATATCTATCGCCTATGCTAAATATACACCCATATTAGAATCAATCCTCATCCCTTACCTTAATTTCCAGCAAGTGCAAGCTCTAGCTATGAATTCCTCTCCCTCACAGACCCTTGTTTTTGTCTTTGTCTCACAAAAGTCCTTTCTCCTAATTTCTAATTATAAGTACTAATAAAAATATATCATAACTCCCTCTATTAATATTAAAATAATATTAATCTTTTAATTATTTCATCTTGACCCCAACTTATTCTTAATTCTACCTCTTTCTCTTATTTTCTCTTTATTCTCATTTGAACCTCAACTTTCTAAATTCTTTATCTTTCTATTTATTTTAATTAATTAAATTAACTAAAATTTTAATAATTTTTACACACCTTAATTAATCCCAATAAAATACCCGAGCACATAAATAATTTGTAAAAATCAATAATAAACTCAATTAAAATTAAAATTTGAGAAATAGGGTGTTACATGATGAAAGTCGTGTTTGTTGCATATGTGGGATTCATTAAAATATGATTGCACCTTAAGCAAGCACATAGTAAATTGAGGGTCTGGCATCATGATGTTCCATTTACACAACATGTTTATGTTTAGTATTGTATATGGATTCCTAGGACATGTTTTATTAAGATTGTGTAATCTATACACATCAGTCACTTTCCATTGCTTTATTTAGAATTACGATGGTACTTAGTTATGTCATATATGTAATCTCTTTGATGAAACTTGCCTTTGCTATTTTTTGGTTTCTTCTTGATCAAAAAAATTCTTATCTCCAGTCATTTTCCTTTTTAGTTGTAGTGTTGGTCCAACGACGTGATTAATGATTAAACAATAATAAACTATCTTAAGATTGATATCAATAATGCCTAATGGAAACCATGCAAAGAGGTCTAAGTTACTTATTAATGTTTGTACCAAGGTGGATTCCTCCTTGGTTGTTAACTGGGTGTTGATATATGTCATATTTTTGGAATCAACTATATCGATTTTATTTTTCAATTTGACTATAAGCTGTGGGGTGTGTTTATTTTCCTCTTTTGTGACTTTAACTTAACATAACATTACATAGCCTAATATGAACTTGACATGAACTTAAAATAACATTACATAATTTAACATGGATCTAACATAACATAACTTAAATTAAATCTAACATGACATTTTATCACCAACAAATAGTTCAAGATGTTCCATTTATCTTTAGAACATTGTTAGTAGATCTCACAAGTGTCACATACACCTCAATTTAAATATTGATTGCGTAATAGTGAAATATATTTCATATAACTTGTACATTTGCACCCGTTCTCATCTCAAACTTACTAAATTTGATATTCTCTCTATTATTGATTATGGGTGAGTGATACTCGATCTTATCCACTATTTGATTGTCGGTATAGTGTAAGAAGTTTTCAAGTTTGGATTTCAAATCTAACAGAAAGGTGTCCCTCGTGACCCTAACTTCAATAGGCGGTGTTATGTTGTTGAAGTAAACAAATGCAATATATCAATAATGATTCATTTTGGAGTGATTTTGTTAACACTATACGAGAGGTATTTATATAAGTTGTAAATTATAAGGTCGGTGCAATCTCAACCATACAAAAGTGTCAGTACAATCTCAATCATTGATAGTGATTCGTTTAACAACAAATACAAAGGCACCCACCGAATTATTTAAATTTCTAGTAGATGAAAAATTCACACCGACTTTTTGATTGGTAATAAATGTCTGGTATAAATGAATTTTTGAGAGCAACCTTCTATAAAAAATTTATGTATAATACAAGACGAGTATTATTGGCATGGGGTGCTAAGTTTAATTTGGGGGTGCAGAGTTGAATCCTCATGGGTGACCCAAGTTAAAGCCCAATCTAGAATAAAACTTTGGTCATAAGGCATTTAATGCGAAGAACAAACTAATCCACTGTCGCAAAGAATAACCAAACCAGAGGTACAAAATAGGCTACGTTAATACACAAAGCCTTTTATTTCAACTCTATCCATATCTATATCTAAATATCAACTGCTTCATTTCATGGGAAAGAAACTTCTCATGCGCAAATCAATCTTGTCCAAAATGAACACACACTCCCACATACTACAACAATTACTTTAGTATTATGGTATCCTCCTACTTCACCAATGGAATCTACAAAAAACATGTTTTGTTCGTCTCCACTTTTTCCTCCAAGAATTCACCCCTGGAACACTCTTCCTTCATCTTCTTATACTTCTGGTACTACTCTTAGTTACAATTTCATTCACGTCTTTTATTCTTTATCTCTATCTTGTGTCAAATTATCTTAAAGCAGGATTAATGTTACTAAATTGATGTACCTGTGACGGTTAATCAGCAGTTAGAAATTCAGTAATGTATATACATTGCCTATTTTCAGCATTACCCTTTTGAATTTCCACTTATGTGTACATTTGTAACTTTGTGTTCTTATCTTTGTAATTGTAATATATTCTTTCAAATTTGGATAATGAATTCCATGTATGTCTGTTATATTAGGATTTTCTTATTTCAATTTTAAGTTTTAACCAATCAACCAATTGGATGAACTTTACTAGATAATGAACTTCGGTTAGGGTCGAATTGATCGGGAGTACTCGAGTTCAATCCCTAACCTAGAACAATATTTGATCAGACTTTACTTAAAGAATTTTGCGATTTTTAAAGAATTCAGAATTACCTGAATTGAAAATGTGTATAATGATTAATGCCTGTTCATAAACCTGTAGTTTTGATGCTCCGGGAACAAGTTGCGCCAACGGTCACCTCATGGTGTACTAGTTTTTCGGCTCAGAATTTTCCTGCTTCAGTTCTTTTACAAGATCAGTGTAATGAGTATAGGCCTCTATTACATATTTCAAAGAAAGACAAGGCATGTCAGGTTTGGTTTCTTCCTTCATATTTCTTTGTCTGTTATCGAATCAATTAGAAATAGAATTGTTTGGTTGGTATTGCATGAACTTCTCTTATGATTTTCGACTAATATGCTCCTACGACTCGGATTTACTTCAGGCAACATTAAATACAAGGCAGATGGATATGGTCTCGGTTCAAGAAGAGAACGACACTGGCAATGCTGTTCAAGTAGAACATGACTTCAGGAAGCACCTCTTGCCTCGTTTAGAGAACTTGTAAGATAAATAAACTGGTTCTTCCATGTTAGTTCAATCGGTTTGTAATTTCTAACCAGAATTGTTCCTGTTCTAAGCTGTCGCTTTCTAAATGCGCAAATGATATATTGCAGATTAACTTCCTCACGAACAGAAGCGGATGCTTCTTCAACTGTACAGAATGCAGATAGTTTGCAATGTAATGCAGTTTCTCTTACTTGGAAAGCTTTTCCTTCCTCAAAACAAGCTTCCTCGATAGCCGAAGACTTGAGTTCAATTAAAGCTGACGAGGACGCTGACAATTCAATTTCTTCTGGGTTAGTTCTATCTACATGTCCAACTCTAACATCCTTACTTTATTTTTCCTATTTTTAGGTTAATTTCGCTGGAGTTTAATGCCTAAACTAAAAAATTCGCTTCAGTCTAGCCTCTGCCAGTTTGGCCGAACCTTCACTTGGAAGAAATAAAACTGTAAGATCAACGCGGCATCGAGAGAGACGGGCTAAAGAGAGAAAGGTACCAAAATCGAAAGTTCAAGACAGAGAAACTTACCTTACAGGAAAGGATGCTGCACAGGAAAAGCTTCATGTACAGAAGAAGATAAATAAAGGGTCGAATCAAAAGGATCCCTTGAACTTGTTCTTGCAGAGTCCTGAATCAAAACAACTTTTGACTTTTGAACAAGAGTCTCAGTTGGTTGCTCAGATACAGGTGTGGTTTTTGTTACACAGAATTTCAGACTTCCTTAAATAAATGAAATGTCTTATTGATGTGGAATATTTGACAGGACCTAATGAGATTGGAAGATTTGAAGACTAGTCTTCAATCTCAATTTGGAAGGGAAACAACTATGGCTGAATGGGCTGAGAGTGCAGGGCTTAACATTCGGAGACTTAAGGCCCAACTTCGTCATGGTACAAGAAGCAGAGAAAAATTGATTCAAGCAAATTTACGGTTGGTACACTACGTAGCTAAAAGTTACCAAGGACGTGGTCTCAGCCTTGAGGACTTATTGCAGGTAGTTTCACACATTCCATCACTCCATTATAGCAAGACTTTGAATTTGATTTAGTGATAGTGTAAAACAAATCACAACCAAGCATATGTGTGACTTTAGGAATAATTATATCTTTTATATTTTTGTTCTCTGGTGTCGCTGCAGGAGGGAAGCACAGGTCTCATAAAGAGTGTTAAAAAATTTACACCCCAATCCGGGTGCCGATTTGCTAGTTATGCATACTGGTGGATAAAACAAGCAATGAGGAAGGCCGTATATCATCATTCTAGGACAATCCGTCTACCGGTAACATTTGATGTTTGAATATAAGCTTCAAACTTTTTATATAATTGATAGGGAACAAAAGTTGTGTTTCTATTGCATTGCGAGCATCAATTTTGTTTCGGTATAAGAAACATTGTATTATCTTCAGGAGAAGGTATATAACAAACTTAGCAAAGTATTGGAGGCAAAGAAATTGTACATGGAAGAGGGAAATCTTAACCCGAGCAGAAAAGAATTAGCAAGAAGGGTAGGAATTGCAGCAGAAAAGGTTGACAGTTTGCTATTTGTTGCAAGAATTCCGATTTCTATGCAGAGAACTGTGGGAGCTGAGACTGATACAACTTTTCAGGTATTGTATGCTAGCTAATGTGATTTTTCACCTTGATATGTTGCATCTATGACGCTTAAAATTGAAAAATAAAGTTATTTTTAGGCATTTAGAATGTTATTCAACTTGCCACTTTTGTTTGGTGAATGTGTTGGGTATAAACGTGAGGATCGATGGTTTAGTCCCACATCGACTATGAATGTGTTTCAAACTTTTGTATTACTAGTTGTTGCAATGTGATTCCAACATAGGAATTGGAATTGATTATCATCATTTTCTTATAATTGCAGGAGATTATTGCTGACACTGCAATCGAGAGCCCGGACATGAGTGTTTCAAAACAGCTTATGAAACGACATGTGCTCAACATTTTAAAACTCTTACGCCCTAAAGAGAGAAGGATAATTCGGCTACGATTTGGTTTTGAAGATGGAGAAGAGAGATCTTTATCAGAAATCGGGGAAATATTAGGTTTATCTAGGGAAAGGATCCGTCAGTTGGAGAGTCGGGCACTCTACAAGCTCAAGAAGTGTCTTGTTGGTCAAGGACTCGAGGCCTATGCAGACTTGCTTATATAGAGAAGACACCAAGGTTATGCATTTCAGTTTTTTTGCGGCCGAGGCCGAGTCTCGCAGACTTTTCTGGCTAGTTTTTGAATTCTAGTACCTAGATTGAGTTTTGAACGGAGAATTTAACCACAAATGGCTGCAATTAAGGAAACATCAGACAGTAAAATGAGAACCATTAGGAGGGCGATTGCAGAAGAAATCGAAGTATTAAACCGGCTGAGATTTATACAAACGAGAACATCTATACAAAAATATTTGTGAATTTTGTATTATTTTGATTGATATTCCAAAAATTAAACATTAAATAAATGGTATTTATATATCTAAGTGATGTCATTGTAATATTTCTATCTGCATTTCATTCAGTTTACTAAAGTTATAGATTTCATTCATTTAAAGAATTTAGTGAACAATTGTATTGATGTTTAAATTTCAGAAACAAGTTTAAACCATGCATTACAAATCTAAATACTATATCTACTAAATATAGTTCTATTATTGATCTTCTTCAAACCGCAATATTTCATTGTTGGAGGGAAAGGTGTGTAAAAAGTAAATCATCGAGGTTGAATGTTAACAGAAAGATGAATTTCAGAAGCCTCGTTGATATAATATGCATGAAGAGGACGATCATTCACCATTTCAACATTGAGACGTCGAAGGATGAAACTATCAACAGGAATGCCCCAATATCTTGAAACTTTGCCGCGCAGGTCACTCACCGTATCAGTCTCCCTCACTCTGACATAACCCTCGCTTCCACGTCCGAGAAACTTCACGAGAACGTGTAGTTTCAGGTCCGGTGGTAGCAAATCGACAACGAGAGTAACAATAAAAATTTCTCTTTCATCACCAAGCAAGGCATAGAATCCTATCCTTGTCTCACCTTCCATCTCTATACCTTTGTACCAGAGATTTTGCCTGTGTACTTCCACCTCCAACTCGTCTTCGATTTTGCTTTTAAGATCAAAAACAAGTTCTGATGTAGACATTTCTATCGTAGGTTCTATCTCTCCACCGATTATCTTAAAATGTACCATTTTCTAAGAGCTTAAGTTTTTTTTTTCTTTCTATAATAGCCAAGTGTTGCTATTCTCTTGTCTACTCTAAATGAGTAGAATTATCAGAGGGAATTGTGAATTGCATGTGTTGATCACTTTAGTTACATTTTCAAGGGCTGTTGCATGCGAAATTGATTGGTTTAGCTAGTAAAATTTGAGAAGCTGAACTAACAAGGAGTCACAAACCTTGTGCTGTTACAGTAATGTTGTGAACTTTGTGATATATTGATTGACATTTGATTTCTGTGATTCTTGTTTTTGTGGTGAAGTGACGTGTGCTAACTATAAGGAATATAATACTCGTTTCCATCAACGCACCGTAAATACATTTGTACTCTGATCCAAAAGTGCATAAGTAGCCACTTAAGTACCGATGCACTTAATTGTTGGGCACCTATAATGATAAGAGGGTTAACAATTATTTGACAATTTCTCTTTAGTAAAAGGAAAAATCCTTTATATTTCCTAAATTGTTTCTGGAAATCGAAAATATATTTTCGGTGCATATTTTTTCTGTTTAATATTGTTTAGAAACCAAAAATATATTTCTAAAGAGAATCGGAAATATATTTCCGATTATTGTGCTGACAAAATCAGAAAAAGTTATGCTGGTAGTGAGTCTTTTTTGCGCGTTGTTTCGCATTGAATACAAAGATGTATACACCAAAACATACTACAAAGATATATAGAACAAAGACATATATAAATAAATATCAGTAAACAATACAAAAGGTGTATGTGGTCAATATAGGATATAACCTAAAATATTATCCAAATACAATAAAAAACAATAACTGAAATACCTATACAACAGAAAATACTGCTGGATATGACAGACTCTGAGTCGGTCTGTCACCCTCTTCGCGTTCATCCGCTGCCTCCTGTACTGCAGAGTCCCTTGAACCTCCTCCATTATGGCATTCAGAACACCTCTAACATCATAGTCATCAAGAAACAAACCACCATCAATATCCGTCTGTGCAATATCCATGATACGACGACACCTAGACAATACATCAGTAGAATGGTCGGCATGTGCCTGCTCCTCTTCTAGAATCTCCTAATGAGTTGGTCTTAGAGGTTTTTCTTGAGCATTATGTACCAGGTATGGATGAGACACCTCGAAGAATCATATGATATAACCGTCCACGTAGCTCCCGTCATCTGGAGCAACGGTACTCCAGGCCTCATTTGAAACAACATAATTCTCATAATCATCAAACAAAGCATCCATATCCATGTGTTTCACGAGGGATGGAGCATATGAAGCAAGATTCGGGAGAATGGTTTGGATGTACCCGAACTGGCGCATGACACGCTCAGGCATATAAGCCGCTGTCTTGCACGACCGCAAGTCAACCATTCCGTAAACAACGCAACATCATCAAATGGTATCGTGACATGGTGGTCATAGCATGAATGGAAGTGTATGTCCTAAAACACCAATCAGTCAATATACACCTGGAACGATTCTATCGTCTGGTTTCCACGGAGGGGGCCGTATGCAGTGGCACGCGACTTAGCTTTAATATAATCAATAACTAGTGACATACCCGAGATGCAGAGGAACTATGTTAGGATCCAACCCTAAAATTACAATAATTATTAATTAATAATGGAATCACAATAATTAACAAAACTCTATATAGACCAAGAAATTTTACCTTCAAAAGTGTGATCATGTTGGTCATCTACTTTGTCTTCCACTTACTTCTGTCAGACATCTTTGTATACAAATACACAAAAAAGCAGTCTTCCAGTTCCACTGGTGGATCTGCTCAAAATCACCAAAGTACCCCAGGTACATCACATCTGTGTAAGTGACACTAGTGTCCATAAAAATCTGTATGCCAACTAGAAATAAAAGATATGCTCTCATAGTCTGACATCGGTGTAAGGTAACTGGCTCAGGATCACCATCAGCTAGTCGTGCACACCTTTTCTCATTTGTGAACACCGTCTTCAAATAACTATATCTGACATGGGGACCATGGGTAAAGTCCAACTCAGTCATGGCACTCTCAGGGGTCACTCCCAATTTCTCTACCAACATATCCAACACTTCCTCTTTGTTAATCCTTTCATGGTCTAAGAATGTCCCTCTAATCGGGAGATGCAGCATAAACGCGACATCGCCTAGTGTGATCATCATTTCACCACATGGTAGATGGAATGACGACGTCTCATGGTGCCACCTCTCAACAAAAGCGTTAATCATATCATGATTAACGATACTATAACCACACTCGGTCAAATCTTTCAACCTTGTAAGCATCAACAACTCACCAAACCATGGCTCCACATGGGGGGTACTAGTTTACTGATCTTCTGCCCATGATTAATAACCTTCAGCAGATCACGTTCCTGCATTCATTATTGACGAAATTCATTCAACAAAATTACATAATGAAAATGTAATAAAAGGAACAAGTCAAAATTCATATCTCTCTGTCCCATATATATCTAGCAACATGGTCAGAGTATAGAGGGAACAAAGATAAATCAGATTGTCCTCTTTTAAAACTCGAAGGCGCCGCAGGTACTGTAGAGTCGTGCTTCAACAAATTTATATTTTGATGATTACAAACATCATGATCAAGGTAAAAGGCATTATCAAAAAGAATAAGAAAAAATATCTACTCAAAATGGAGTTTTGGCTTGCATGTTAAGTTACTCCTAAAGAAGACTTTGGTATTTGATCTTCAATATGGTACAAGACTTCAATTTAATATAGTATGTTACTATAGTGCTCAAAATATACTCTAAATATTTTACATAAGTGTCATGATCATTTAAGAGTAAAATATTTCATGTCTATCACTTAAAAAATAAGTTTTTATCACTTCCACTCAGTGATAACCGGTTACAGGGTTACAGTAACCGGTTACAGGGCTTCGTAGAAATAAAAAATAAATTACTGGTTCAGTGGTAACTGGTTACAGCTTTTGGGTAACTGGTTACACACATGCGTATTTGAAAAATATATATGTTATCGCGTCTGTGTAATCGGTTACAACCCTATAATAATCGGTTACCGCTGAAGAAAAATTTCAAATATTTTCGATTTTACTTGGTTTTTGGGTGATACCTCTTGAGGTCCAACCATTGCACTCTTCCATACATTTAAAACCTTTTTAAAAGGTGCATCACATGTATAAATTTCATTTTCAATTCTGATGCAAATTAAGATACCTACAATAACAATCACAACATACAATGCAATGTTTTGTATCTCATTTTCAAACAAGTGCATTGATTAATATTTTGATCTTGCATGAAAATTTTACTCTTACATTTTCAAATACATCATTATAAAAGTTTCATCATATGCATTGAGCACTTGTGTAATATATTCATTGAATTGTTGTCTTGAAAGACAAGAGATCAATACTTGATAATGGCATTGATTATAAACTTTCATATGTACTTCAAGAATTTGTTTCTAATCATTTTTCTAAAGTGATTGTGGTATAACTTTGTTGTCCAGGATTGTTGGAAGCAAGAGAGTATTAAGGGAGAATTGTTCTCTTTTTACTTTGTATTGGTTACCTTGTTTTCAAGATTGTTAGAAACAAATGTGTGCATTAAAGAGGATTATTCTTCTTGCACTTAGTGTTTAGATCTTAAAGGTTTTAAGAGTCTTTGACCTTCCTATAAGTTAGATAGTAAGCATCACACTTGGTGTGGATAGGCTATACAATAATTTTAACTATAGTGAAATCTCTTTCGTGTTGAAATGGGACTAGAGTACTCTCAAAGTGTGAGGGGAACCAGGATATATCTAGTGTTATTTATTTTTCTATATTTATCGCTTTCATATTTATACACAAACCAGAAAAATAAGAACATCATCGCATAAAAGAATAAAAATATGCAATCCACTTTATTCGGCCCCGTCTTAGGTGCACTCAAAAACTAACTGGTACCGCCTGAGCTGTCGGCTCAGGTGCCTGAGATGTATGGGGTTCCGCCTGAGGTGTTGGCTCAAGTGCTTGAGATGTCTGGGATGCTGCCTAAGGTGTGGGCTGAGGTGCCTCATGTGTCTGGTATAAGAGTTGTGGCTGGGCCTGAGGTGTCGCCTGTGTGACCTTTGGTGTCGGTTGGGAACCTAATGTCTCTCCCACCTCAAATACCATCGATGATGAAGTATGTCTACAGGAGGACGAAGGCGGAGAGGGATGAACTTGAGAATCCCACTCATTGTGGGAGGAAGATGCAGCCGTAATAGAAACAAGAACACCCGAGGCAGAAGCTATAGAACGCGCATCCGGCATAGCCTATCCAGAGGAAGGAGGAGCTTGAGATGCCTGACTCCTTTCTCTCCACACAAAAGCATGTTGTGCAAGCCGAATGTTTCTCAATCTAGTTGGTCTCTCAGCCATTACTCCTGTAGAAGTAGGAAAAATACGTAAACATAAGGACCCTAAACCCTAAAATATGGGAAAATAGAAACACACTAAAAACGAAAATGCATTTCCGGTTCGACCTGTAATTTTAAGCTCCATCAATGGCAAATCATAGGCCCATACAACCTCAAACAAAGTGTTATTGGTCATCAAAAGTAGCCTTCCAACAATTAACTAATGATGTCTAATATTGAAAACAAACAACAAATTCCCAATTTCTAACCTATAACACTAATTTTAGTAGAAAATACATAAACTCTAAAAAATTAAAAAAACAACTTACAATTGTTGATTTTCCTTGATTGAATGTGGTTGGATACTTGAGTTAAGTAATGCTTGACAATTTCTGACGAATTTTTTGCGAATTTAATTTGATATTGAAACAATGATATTTGAGAGAAATGAGTATTTGAGTGTTTTGTTTTTGTTGTTTTGAAAAACAATTATGTATTGAGGGAGGGGAAGAGTTCTGGTGCATTTAAGTCGCAACCAAAACTAGAAATATATTTCCATTTTATACCGTAAGTGCATTTCCGATTTATATATTGCCTATAATTTTGTTTCATAGGCTACAATTGTGGTTGGGGTACAACCGAAAATATATTTACGATTTACATCTAATTTTTATGACTAGTTTGGTGTGTACCAAAAATATATTTCTAATTTTAAGGGGCATATAGGGAATTTCTTGTGGTGCACTAGAAAATCATAGGGTGGAAAAATAAATTCTCCAATTATTTTCCAAATTTAGGGTTTTATCATCGGATAAATACAAAACTAAGAAGTAAAGATAAAAACATAAAGTTCCGAATAATGGTTTCCCTTACAAAATTTTCTTAATTAAGAATGGATGTATTCAATACTGTTTTTTTTTTAAAGTTGGAACATTCATTATTTCTTCATTAAGAGAGATTTGTATTGTCTTAATTTCTCTTTTATTGAAAATGTATTTTCTGTATAATAATATGTGTTTAATGAGACTACATTAGGGTTATTTATATTCATATAAATTGCATATAATAAGGTAATAAAAGTAATACAATTGATACACTTTGATTCTAGTTGACACACATTGATTCTAATTGATTCTTAATACTCCATTAGTCCGGATATTCATATCCAAAAATTCTCTAAAGACGAAATATTAAATTATATCATACATGTATATCTGAAAACCTCTTAAAAACGAAATATTAAATTATTTTAGATATGCATATCTGTAAACCCTCTGAAAATGACATATTGGATGAATTCAAATATTTATATTCGAATTAGGAGATATTACGAGAATTTCACGAAGGGCCCCTAAGAATCCTTAAGAATGTATTAAGAAACTCCCAAATAATAAAGACATTATTTTGGAAAAAGTCCTTAATCCATTTGGAATGGCTTTTGATTCGTATGGATCTGTTATGACTACTATCCGGCCCAAAATCATCTTTGTCCTCAAGGTTGGATTTGAAATAATTGGATAGGTTGAATGAAGTGGCCCAATTCGGAGGCCCGTGATGAGGTAACTTAGTTGAAGTGGGAATTTGGTTGGATTGGAACTGACTAAACACAGCTGGCGATGGGATTGAAAAGTTGCGTGGGGAAGTGGAAGTAGTAAAAACATGATGTAAAGTGGCATGGGGAAGCGTGTAAGGGTTTTCTTGGGAAGCCAATGAGTCAAGTGAGGCTACGGAGAAATCCAAGGGTTGTTAGGTTTAAGGGTTTGGGAAGTGGAATTTTTTAAAGTACACCGAGAACTTTCTTTTGGAGACTTAAACACTTCACTTTCACCACAAACTTTCTCTCTCTGTGTTTCACTGTTCTCTATTCCTTCTTGTCTCACCGAAGCAACTTCAAAACTATTTTTGCATCTTCATGGATTCTTTCTTCAGCAGGGACCTGTGTAAGCATTTCCTGGGGGTTGATGAATGGTCCACATTAACTTATGAAGGAGATGCATGAGAGCGTGTGAGAGAGTTAGTTTCATCCTCAGATCCTTCCAAATCGGTGGGAATAAGAGTAAAATGAGTTGAAAGATCCTTGCCACGGAAAGCTTTAAGGTTGTCACTTATAAAACATCGTAAATAAGTTTTTAAGCAATGATTAACCACCTCTGTTTCGCCGTCTGTTTCAAGATGATAAGCGGAGTAATATTTCAGTGTTGTTCCTTGTGCTCGAAACAATTCCTTCCGGAAGATGTTAAGGAAAAGTGGGTCACGATATGAAACAATGGATGTCGGAACACCATGTAAATGGCAGATCTCGATAGAGAAATCAAGATCTAGATACTTGGCAGAAAATTTTGTTGGCAGAGCTTTGAAATGAGAAAACTTTGTCAGCCTATCATAGACGACCCAAATAAAATCCATACTTAATTCATCCTACACTAGCTTATGTATGTTTAATGGTTGAAGGAGTCCTTGTTTCTTCTTAGACATGAATTTGTTTTGTTGGCAAACTGAGCACGTTTTAACAAAGGCATTTATGTCTTTGTATATTCCAGGGCTTTAGAAAGAAAGATGAGATTCAAGCCAAGGTTGGTCGAAGCCAAGAGTGGCCTGCCATCGGTATTGAGTGGTATTCCGTGAGAACAACTTCATGGAACTCTTGAGTATAAGGTACATAGATTCTATCTTTGTAGTACAAAGGTCATCATTGATTTGAAAAAATGTCTGCATAAATGTGTTGATTTGAACTGTTTCCAACAGAGTTTTTCCTTCTAGAACTATTTTATAATTATTCTTTAACTGTGTCACGAGTAGTATGTAATCGTCATTTAATTGTTTGTGACTCAGAGCATCAGCAATCTATTTGGCTTTTTCAGGTTTGTAGAAAATATTAAAATGAAAACCTTGCAATTTTTCTGCTCATTTTTGTTGTTCAGAAGTCCGAATAGTTTGGCCCAAAAGATTTTTAAAACTCTTTTGGTCAGTATAAATGTGAAAATGTTTGTCAATTAAATACTGACGCCACTTTTTGAAAGCTTCAGTGGTGGCGTATATTTCCCGGCCGTACACAAAGGAGGCTTGTAACATGTTGCATAACTTTTTGCTTAAGAATGCTAAGGGGTGTTCCTGTTGTGATAAAACTGATACAAAAGATTTGGGAGAAATCTAGAAGACACAAGACATGATTTTCTGTAACTTTCTTTTTTAAAGTTGTAAATGTTGTTTTAGCTGATGTACTCCATGATAATTTAATGGAATGTAATAAATAAGTGAGGGGATCGACAAGAGAGGCGTAATGATGCCTTGATAAGTGATTTTTACACTAATACTTAGCATTTATTTGAGTTATAGTTTTTTTTTTTTTTTGCTTTTTGAGGTTTTATTTCGTTTTATTTTATATTATGCTTTGTTTTTGGATTTTAGTGTTTTTAGATTCAAAAGTATAAACGTTTTATTGTATATTATGCTTTGGTTTTGGGTTTTAGTGTTTTCATGTTCAAAAGTATAAAGCATGACAAATCTGGGTGGAAAAAATGCAATATTCACAGTTTCGGTGGAAGTGCTACATGAGCCCGGACACGGATGGTCGTGTCACCTCACACGGGCTGTGTCAGGAGGAAGATTTGGAAGACATGGGTGGCAGTGTCACTTTACACGGGTTATGTCAGGGCGAAGACTTGGAAAGTGTGGAAAACAGGGGAAGACTTGGGTGACTGTGTTGCCTGACACGGTTCGTGTCAGCATGCCTCGAGTAAAAAAATTCTTGATGGTCAACACAGTTGGCCGTGTCACTTGACAAAGATCTTGTTGGTTAGTGATGTTGATTTTAAGTGTTTTTATGATTTTCAATATTCGTGACCGAAAGGGATTTTGTATCATTTATCTAAGTTTGAAAGAGGAATTGAGGGACTATTTGCCAGATGAAGAATTGAGGAGTCAAGAAAGCAACATATGAGATTCTCGGAGTACGAGGATTTTTTATGAGCTGCAGCGGTTATAGGTCAAATTTCCTCATTTATCTATAATGTTTAATCTTTATATTATTTTGAATAATATGAGTAGCTAAACCCTCAAATGTTAAGGGGTGTCTCTGATTAGAATCTGTAATGACTTTGAATTTTTGATTTTATGAATTTCATGATTTTTAATATTCAATTTAATCATGCAATGTTTTTATGCTTTTCTGATCGGACTAATTAGGATTGATCTACGCTTAACAACCAATTAATCCAATGCTGTTAAGGTTTTTCTATTGTAAGACTATAGTAGATATCACCTAGGACTAGGGATACCCTATAAGTTACTAGTAACTCTTGATAAAACAAAGGTTTGAATTCATCAGATATCTCTGAGGACTTAGGATGTAGGATGAATGTTCAAAGGTAAGGACTTAGGTGAAAATAACCTAAAGGGTTGATAATTGGTTTTATGAACTTATCGAAGAAATCAGGATTCAAGGTTGTTACAGGGAAAATTACACATCACACCCTAGCATGTTGCTTATACTTGTGAAAAGTCATAATTTACATTCTGCTTATTTTTTAATTTCTGCTAAGTGACAATTCTTAAACCAAATCCCCAATTAAGTTTTTGTTTAATTGAATGTAAATTGAACTCGATAATTGTATGCAGTCTTTGAGATCGACATTTCTGGAATTTCTCTATTATTACAAGGGAAAAAAATAGTACACTTGTTATTTTTCCTATCAAGTTTTTGGCATCGTTGCTAGAGACTTTCTAATTATTGAGTGTAATTTAAGTTCAATTAGAATTTTGTTGCTCTGCATTTAAAATTTCTTTTCTGTAATTTTTATATTTTTGTAATTACTGATTTTTACTAACCTTTGCATGCGAGGAAAACCCTCACATGAATTTCCTTTTGATATACAGACTTAGGTTCAGAATCATAACCCGAAACTATGGGTGAAAACCCACCACCACCAGAGAGACTTCTTGGGATTACGGAGGAGCAAATACTCCAGTAGGTCGGTTGACTATTATGAATCAACGTATCAATGTTGCAAATTTTTAACTACATCCTTCAACCATCCGCCCGCTCTAGAACAAATCTTTCACCGAAAAGATCAATGAATATGCCAATAAGCATTTGCACAGGTTCCTCACCATGAGTATTACTTTGAAGATTGAGGGGCACTCTGAAGAAATCAAGAAAATTAAGGATGTTCTTGTTCACGTTGTCTGAAGATGCTGAAGAGTGGTTTTACTCATTGCCTGCTGGAAGTATCACCACTTGGGAACAGATCGAGAATACTTTTCTTGATGAATACTTTCCTGCTTCTCTTTACATTCGCAAAACATATGATATTGTAAATTTTAAACAGAAGGAGGGAGAGTTGCTAGGTGATGCTTATAAGAGGTTCAAGAGGTTATTAGTACCCTGTCTCACTCACAACATGGGTCAAATTGAGAAAATGAAAATGTTTGTAAATGGCTTTCGAATAAAGACAAAGCAGTTTATCGATACATCAGTCGTTGGCTCAACCAACTTTACAACAGCCACTGGTGTGAAGAAGATTATTGAAGTCTTGGCTGCAAATGGACATTTGGAATTATATGATAGGATTGTGAGTAAACCAGAGGGGGTGATTAATCTGAAGTTAGAAATTAATAAGCAACTGAAAAATTGAAGAAGCAGTTGATGCAGAAGTAGAGAAAAGACTGAAAGCAATGAACATGGGTGCTCAACAGGTAGCTCAGGTTCAATAGGTACAACAAGTTGTTTGCAAAATTTGTAGTAGACCACACACTACTGTGCAATGTCTTGCAACTCCACAACAAATTGAGGAGATAAAATTCTTGAAGCAAAATAACTCGTATTCTAACACCTATAATCCTGGGTGGAAGAATTATCCTAACTTCTTCTGGAAAGATCAACAACAACAAGCTCCTCAGAAGGTAGAATGGGAGATGGCTATTGAAAAGATGGCTGCCCACACCTCTCAATTTCAAGAAAAGAGAAGGAGTAATCACAGGAATACCATAACTACAATAAAAAAATTGGAAGTTTAAATAGGACAAAATAACTCATATTTTATCTTGGATACATGGCGTGGGTGTTGGTTTGGCTGCAAGAAGCCCAACATCTTACAAAAGATCAAGACTATACTTTCTGACACAAGGATATCCCTTGAGAAGAGCTAGCACCTGAAATTGAAGAAAGTATTTGAGATTGTCTAAATATTTTATGCTAAAAGTTGTATACAATGTAATTTTAATGTTTGAAATCACAGTGATGTTGCTTATGCAAGTATCAAATCATCAACGTATATAAATATTGTAGTAAAATAGTTGTTAGTTTTCTTTGTGAATAGAGATAGACAGATTTTGATTGAACAAAACCTAGTTCAGGAGTGGATGTTAATTTAGGATTTCATTATATTCTAGCTTATTTGAGGTTATATATGGATCTATTAAGCTTGCAAATAAGGCTTTTGTTAGATATTTTTATCCCAAGAGTGATTTTCATGTAGACTTCTTCATCTAAGTCCCCATGTAAGAAAGAAATATGTATGCCAAGTTAGTGCAGAAACCAATTTTGACAGGATGCTATAGAAAGAATGAGTCTAATTTTTTATTTATTTTAATGACTAGGCTAAAAAATTCATGGTAATGCATGCCTTCGAATTGGTTGAAGCCTTTGGCAATAAGGTGTGCGTTGTATCTTTCTAAGGTGCCAGTGGTTAGGAATTTTAACTTGAAAATCCATTTACAACACATGGCCTCTTTGTTAGAGGGAATGGGAGTTAAGTCTCAAATGTTATTGTTACTGAGGGAATTAAGCTCATTATGGACAATTTGTTGCCAGCTAGGGCCAAGGATGATAGAAGAATATGACATGGGTTTAATGGTTAAGGATAATATAAGATTGAAATTTTTGTAAGATAAGTTATTATGAGAAATGAAATTAGAGATTTGATAAAGAATGTTATTTGTAGGAGTGGATTAGAAGGGAGATGATTTACCTTGGATCATGGCACAATGGTAATCTAGAAGGTATGTTGGGGGTTTGGAAGTTCTACTAGATTTCCTAGTGGGAGGTATAGGTTGAATGCTAGTGTTATAGGGTGAGGTGGATGATGCATTTGTGATTTTGGGTACTTATTGGGAATTTGAAGGTAAGTTTGGTTGGGAAATATTAATGTTGTCTAGGTATTTTAAAAGTAAGTCATTAATCGGGTAAATAAGATATTTAGGTGTGATGTTGGTTTGGGGTTTATTGTTAGAAAAAGGGAAGATATGTTCAAAAACACTTGTCTCTAGTTATGAAGAGTTGCTTGTCATGAAGGTCAAACATGATGTATCCTTTGATACCATGTTTATTTCCTAAGTAAATACACTTGTTAGATCAATGGTCAATATTAGTTATGTTTCTCTTATAACTAAAGAAATACACTAAACAT